AACCTTACACCCAACCCATGGGTTTCAATGGGACAGAGAAGTAATAGGCGAAGAGGATGACATCGAAGGGTTACTTGGAGTACGACCAACAGGCTGGTTCGACGAAGACAATAATGATGTCTGAGTCATCCTTCTTCAAAAAGATTTCGGCCTACGTGGTTGAAAATAAAATAAAAATAGCTTTCAAAGTCGAAGCAAAATACATGCCTATCCAAGCCAAAGAAGAATCAACACATATAGAAGGGCCTGGATCGCATTTTATTCCAAAGCCCCCTGATGAACAGGTACCCATAGAAAACAACAACCAAAGGCTCGACGCTATCTATGATGATGGACCTTTGGGATTTGAAAGGGATCCAGTGGCCCTAAGCACAAAAATGCTGGAACAAGATCCCCTTGAAGAAGTTAATTTAGGAGAAGGAACTGAAAAAATACCCACTTATATTAATGCAAAGTTTGATCCGGAAGTAAATAACAAAGCAATCCAAATGTTGAAAGAATATAAAGATTGTTTTGCTTGGGACTATGATGAAATTCCTGGGTTAAGCAGAGATCTGGTCGAACTGAAGCTGCTAATAAAGGATGGCATGAAGCCCATCAAGCAGACTCCCAAAAGGTTCGCACTAGAGATACTATCAAAAATAAAGGAGGAAGTCGAAAGACTCCTTCGATGCAACTTCATCAGAGCAACCAGGTATGTAGAATGGATTGCAAATATTGTTCCTGTTATTAAAAATAATGGATCCCTTAGGGTTTGCATAGACTTTCATGATTTAAATGCTGCAACCCCCAAGGATGAATATCCAATGCCTATAGAAGAGGTGTTAATTGATTCTGCAACAGGTTTCGAATACTTGAGTATGCTTGACGGATATTTAGGATATAACCAAATTTTCATTGCTAATGAAGATGTGCCCAAAACAGCCTTACGATGCCTTAGGGCATTAGGCACCTATGAATGGATAGTGATGCCTTTTGGACTAAAAAACACTGGGGCAACTTACCAAAGGGCAATGAATTCCATCTTTCATGATTTTGTAGAGACCTTTTGCAGGTTTATATTGATAACATTGTCATCAAATCTGTGTCCCATGAGTTCCATTTGGATCATCTTTGACAGTTATTCGAAAGAATGAGGAAACATGGTTTGAAGATGAATCACCTTAAGTGTGCTTTCTTTGTGCAGGAAGGTGATTTCCTGGGATTTGTAGTCCACAAGAAAGGGATAAAGATAAACCAGAATAAAACGAAGGAAATTATGGAAGTGAATGCGCCATCATCAAAAAAGGAGTTGCAATCACTTCTAGAAAAAAAAAACTTCTTAAGAAGATTTATTTCTAATCTGAGTGGTCGAACTCAAGCCTTCTCCCCTCTCTTACGCCTCAAACAAGGCAACTTCGACTGTAAAGAAGAACATTAACGTGCGTTTGATAATATCAATCAATATTTGATGCATCCTCCTATCCTCACACCTCCTTGTGGAAAGAAGCGCATGAGGCTATATATATCAGCCTCAGAACTAACTATAGGAAGCATGTTAGCCCAAGAAGATGATAATGGTGTCGAAAAAGTCATTTATTACTTAAGTAGGGTGCTAAATGATGTTGAGACTAAATATAATGCAATAGAAAAATTATGCCTTTGTTTATATTTCTCTTGTACCAAATTAAAATATTATATAAAACTTGTTGATCTTTATGTTTCATCACAATTTGATGTTATTAAACACATGCTATCAAAGCCAATCATGCACAGTCGAATTGGCAAATGGGCTTTAGCCCTTACTGAGTATTCCTTGGCTTTCTTGCCTTTAAAAGAAATGAATGGTCAAGTGGTCTCAGATTTTATTGTGGACCATGTAGTGGTCGAAAATCCTCAACATTGTGTTGAGTTGAAACCTTGGAAACTATTTTTCGATGGTTCTACCCATAAAGAAGGTAGTGGAGTTGGAATCTTGATCATTTCTCTTGAAGGAATTCCAACAAGACTCAAGTATAAGATCGAAGGCCCTCTTTGTTCGACCAATGAGGCAGAATATGAAGCTTTAGTTGCTGGACTCGAAGCCTTGTTGGAATTGGGGGCAACAAGAGTTGAAATCAAAGGAGACTTTGAATTAGTGATCAACCAAATAACAAAGAAATACAAATGTATAAAAGAAAATTTGATCATATACTTTGTTATTTACAATAGATTGCTCAAAAGATTCGAGCACGTGGGTATTAAACACATTCCCAGGGTTAAAAATCAAGAAGCAAATGACTTGGCACATATAGCTTCAGGATATAAAGTATCAACAGAAAGTTTAGAAGATTTTATTGAAGTAATAGGAAAAGCAATAGCTGCCAGGTTATCCCCATCTGATTTGGAGAGTTCAAAGTTAGGATACACTAACGAAGAAGAATTCGAAGTATTAGCTATTAATGCTCTAACAGATACAAGTTGGCCTAGCCCAATCATAAATCATCTTAAAGATCCTTCGATAGATGCAGAAAGGAAGATCAAGTATAGAGCATTATCATATATCCTGATGGGAAACAAATTGTTCAAGAAAACCCCAGAAGGAGTCTTGCTTAAATGTTTAGGAGAAAGTGAAGCATACCTAGATTTGTCTGGTGTGCACAGTGAGGCATGTGGAGCGCATCAAGCAGACCATAACGATTACAGTGGTTATTTCGATTACAGCGGTTGTTTGAATGCATTAATATTCTTTTTAGTGTTTGGGCTTCATTTGGATTGAATTGAGTAAAATCCCAAGCGTTTGAAATGGTTCGATGGACAGACAAAACGAATATAATAAATATTCATTAAGTATATTTTGAAATCAAAAGTTTTTGGATATATACGTCGAAAACTTGGCGCCAACAGAAGAGAGGAATTTGAATTTGAAATCGAATTTTTGAGTCATAGAAGACACGTGGAAGTCTAATGGGTTCGGAGGACGTGTAATCTTCGAATGTGGCACTCTATTATAGAAAGACCGTTAGGTTCAAATTAGTATAAATAGGGATCTTAATGTTAGGATTCGAGAGTTGTTTATTTTGTACAAATTACTCAATATACTCGAAGTACCAAGTGTTAGAGAAAAGAGTTGCAGAAAATGTACGTATAGACACCATTATTGTTTTTTTCGAATCATTTTGCTTTATCAATATCAAGTCTTTTAACATTTCCAGTATTTCCTTTACTTTTTAGTCAAAACTTTTACTTTTTTAAGTCATTTATATTTATTCTGCATTTCCTTTACGTTTCTTTACGTTTCCAGTCGAAACCTTTATATTACTCACTCGAAACCCTTTTATTCGAACTTACTTTAAATTATAATTCTAATCTTTATGTTGTTATCAACAAAATAATGTTAAACATGAATTCCATTACAAGTTTAATCTTAGAAACTTAGACACATGTCCTAGGATCAATCTAGTCGATCATGCAAGTTACCAAAGTATTTAGTTTGGAGGACTATCGATTGTTTACCAAACTCACGCGTAAACAGATACTAACAAGTATCTGTTGGGTTTTGGCTCCTTTCTTATATGGAGAAAGACCCAAATATGAATAGCGCATTTGTCTCACTTATTTAAGTGGAGAGTGTCAATTTAGGATTGAAAAAAATATAGAGAAAATAAGAATTCAAAAGAGAGAAAAGAGGAGAGAAACTCATTTCTATTTTTCTGCACCAGTCTCACTAAATCGATGATCTCTGATTCGTTAGCCATCGGATCTGCTAAATTTTGGTAGGGATGTTCGCAACACCTATATCTAACTTTTGACCATTGGGATCTTTAAAAAAAAATCTGAGCTGAGAGATAATTACTTCGCACAGAAGCTGCAGATTTGGGTAATTTTTTCAGTTTTTGATTCTTATTTTTAATCTAGTTTGCTTTGTGATTTACAGCTATTATCACTATTTTGTTAATCACTTTAAGACTCTCTTGTATCATCAATTGATTATAGTGGAGCTATTTGTTAATCTGAACGACTCGTGGTTTTTACTCTCATTTTAAAGGGTTTTCCATATTAAAAATATTGGTGTTCTTTTGTGTCTTTATTTATTCAATTTGTTGTCTTCTATTTGTTGTTGATCCTCAAAGTTCCTACAAGTGTGAGAAATTTTATATTCGTTATGTATTATTCTGTTATTTTGTCTTAATTTTTCATCAGTATCAAATATCAAATAATACCTTCTATAAAAAAAAAAAAATTTATACTGCAAATTAACACTGTTACAAAAAATCGTTAAACCGAACCAAACTAAAGTTAAAATATATGAACTATTATCTTTATTATTAGTGAATTGAAGATGTGTTGAACGAACGATTAGAGAATCGAATCAAATAACAAATAAATTAAACTGAACTAAAATTAAAAATGAAAATGTTAAAAACAGATTAAATTATTTATTAAATTTTTATAATAAAAAGGTATAACATCTAAATTTTTTACAAAATCCGATTTTAAAAAAATTATCTTCTCGGTATTATTCAATATACCAATTCAATAAATTTGATTTGGTTGAATTATAAATGAATTAAAATTATTTTGTTCAATTCGAATAACTTTTTACCATAATGTAATTCAGTTTTATTTTCTGACTTGAAATGCACAGCTCTAGTGCCCCTCTTACTTATAGTTAAGAAATGTAAATGAGGACATTCACATTACTATCATATAGTAAAAGAAGCTGTTGAAAACCATGTTTGACAAGGCTCATTAATTTAAAAAAATGAATAGAAAAATAGCTAAGGAATGTATAGACAAATCTTGCAAGCCATGAAAATCCTCCAAATGGCAGCACATCATAAACCCCTAACTCCACCAATAATTTTCTTCTTATTATTATCATAACCACACAAATAGAAAGAGTCAAAATACCATACATTAAATTAAAAACCATGCCTCTATCAAAACTAGTTTATACTATTTTAATCTATTAAAAAAAATTAAAAAAATGTCATATAGAAGCTCTTAGAGTAGCTCAATTTCTTCCACTTACCACAAAAATGAATGATCATAGATCAAAGATGATGATAATATCTCCAGGCTTATTACCAACTGAATCATTACTAGATTCATTGGTTTTAATATCCAATGAAGTTAGTTCAATTGAAAATTTTCCATTAGTACAAATAAAAAATGTATCTTCCATGATAAGAAGGATCAAGCTTCTTTCATCATTGTTTGAAGAGATTCAAGAATCCGATACACCGCTTCCGCCTTCGTCGATTCTTTGTTTCACAGAACTCTTTTCCATGATCACAAGAGTGAAGATTCTGATTCAAGAATGCAAAGATAGAAGCTCTCTTTGGAGTCTAATACAATTAGAATTCGTTTCGAATCAGTTTTTCGTGCTTGTGAAAGAATTCGGAAGGGCTTTTGATATTCTTCCTTTGAATTTGCTTCATGTGACAAATGATATAAAGGAGCAGATTGAGCTTTTGCATAGACAATCTAAGAGAGTTGAAGTTGAATTGTTTATTGATCCTAGAGAGGTTCAAAGAAGAGAAAAACTTTTGGAAGTAATGTCGAAGAATTGCTTGCAGAACAAGAAAACTAATAAAGGGTTTATTGATTTTGTGAAAGTTGAAGAGATAATGAGTAGCATTGGTTTGAGAACATTATCGGATTACGTCGAGGAAATATCGAAATTAGAGGTTGAAGCACAGAGTCAAGCGGGGACAGGAGGACTAATCGTGGTCTCGAATATAAACAATCTCATGCTGCTCGTTTCGTATACGAAATCAATGGTATTCAGAAACGAAGATGAATCAGAAGAGTGTAGGCCATTATCTATGTTTCTATACAACAAAACTAAAATACATGATAATGATAGTACTTTTTTATCATCATCTTCTTCTCGGTCGATGGTTAGTATTCCGGACGAATTTCGCTGCCCGATTTCACTAGACCTAATGAGGGATCCTGTGATTGTTTCATCAGGACATACTTATGATCGAGTTTCGATTGCGGAGTGGATAAACTCGGGTCACAATACTTGTCCTAAAAGTGGACAAAGACTAATTCACACTGCTCTCATACCAAACTATGCATTGAAGAGTCTTGTTCATCAATGGTGCTACGAAAACAATGTCTCGGTGAACGAAAATAACAGTAGTAGCAAAAGGCACAAGAATGAGAATGCAATTGATCACATTTCAGCAAACAAAGCATCAAAAGATGCTGTCAAAATGACAGCAGAGTTTCTTGTTGGAAAGTTAGCAACTGGTTCGACAGATATCCAAAGACAATCCGCGTACGAGATTCGCCTCCTCGCGAAAACTGGTATGGACAACCGAAGAATCATAGCCGAGGTAGGCGCGATTCCGTTTCTAGTAACACTTTTAGTATCTAAAGATTCAAGAATCCAAGAACACGTGGTGACAGCGTTATTCAACCTATCGATCTACGACAATAACAAGATTCTAATCATGGCTGCGGGAGCTATTGATAACATAGTCGAAGTACTCGAGTCGGGGAAAACAATGGAAGCGCGAGAAAATGCTGCAGCAGCTATATATAGTTTATCAATGATAGATGATTGTAAAGTGCAAATTGGAGCAAGTTCTAAGGCAATACCTGCATTAGTAGGACTATTAAAAGAAGGTACACCAATTGGAAAAAAAGATGCTGCTATTGCATTGTTTAATCTTGCAGTTTATAATCCTAACAAGTTAAGCATTGTTAAAAGTGGAGCAGTTACTTTACTTGTTGAGTTGTTGATGGATGATAAAGCTGGGATAACCGACGATTCGTTGGCCGTGCTGGCCGTGTTGCTAGGTTGTTCTCAAGGGTTGGAAGAGATAAAGAATAGTAAGAGTTTGGTGCCAATTCTTATTGATCTTTTGAGATTTGGATCAGTGAAAGGGAAGGAAAATGCAATAACACTTTTGCTTGGATTGTGTAAAGAAGAAGGAGAATTGGTTGCAAGGAGATTGTTGGCAAATCCAAGGAGTATTCCTTCTCTACAAAGTTTGGCTGGTGATGGTTCTTTGAGAGCTAGGAGAAAAGCTGATGCATTGCTTAGGTTGCTTAATAGGTGTTGTTCTCAACCTCATCATTCTTTGTGAGGGGGATATAGTAGGGTTGTTTGATGAGTAATGTGATGATATGGTGGAGATACAAAGATGTATATTTTTGTGAATGTTATACATGCAAAATTTGTGTTCATTTGTTGTTGTAGATTCTTTTTAAGGTTCTAAAGCTTTTGAAGTTCTTTTTTTGTTGTTGGTATATCTCTATGTTTAATAGAAGAAGTGTGCAAACAATTGATAGAGAAGAATATTCAAGAACTAGTTTTCAAAAGATGCATGGTCTAGTCTTCTTCTAGATTGTGATGCACTTAACATTGACTTAAAAAAAATGGTAATGCTGGTAAAAATCGATTTTATGATCAACAAACAAATTTGGATAATTGATTTTTAGAATGTATAAATTTATTTATAGAACTTTTATAAATTTTATAAAACAAATTTGAATAATCAATTTTTAATTAACAAAATTTGATTAATGAATGTTAAAATGCATAAATACCTAAGTGATGATCTCAACTAGAAAGTTAATGATGATATTGAATGATTAATTAAGTTATAAAACCAAACTAATTGAGTGATTAAAATAGGTTAAGTCAATTGATGTGGGGGAATCAATTTATAGGATATTAAATCTCTATATAAAATTTAAAATTATCCTTTTTATATTGATCTAATCGGGATTAGAAGGATCTTCAGTGACCTGTAACACTTGGATTTCTGTGGTTGTTGATGTGATTGGAGGGGAGGTGTACCTGCAAGGTACTCCACTGTCAAAGTAAGATTTAGAGTAAAGAAGACAAGTACAAAGTGTAAGTGGATAGAATTAAATACCTGACCCTCTAGTGAAAGAGGGTATTTATAGCCCCTAGTGTTGGGCCAAGATCCCCATTTGGGATGGATTCTCAGTACAAAATAGAGACTGCTAGGATCCTATGTGGGTAGAGAAAACCAGCACGTGGTCTCTGTTGGTGCAAGGTAATGAAGTGGGAGAAGAAGAATGAATAAAGAATGATAACAAGAAGACTACTATTGTATATCAAAATAAAGGAGATAAAGTAGGGTACAATATTGATAGTCTGGGATAGGATATTTATACTAAATATTGAAAAGGCCAAAAGGCCATATTAAAGGATAAACATTGGGAATTGTAGAAATTAACTAAATTATCTTTCCAATATCATCCCTTAATTTAGTTTTTCTATCAGAAGCTAACAACACCAATTTCATCTCTCAAGCAAAGAAATTGGTATGTCTTAACTGCCTTCGTCAGAAGATCTACTAGCTATTTCTGGGTGCTGCAGTGCAGAACTTCTAACACTCCTTTCTGTACTTGACTTCTAAGAAAGTGATACTTCGTCTCAATGTGCTTGCTTCTTCCATGTAGCACTGGATTCTTGGCAAGATCAATTAAAGAATTATTATCAATCATCACCTTCAGAGGTTCCTCAACTTCAACCTTCAGATCATGCAAGAGATTCAGAAGCCAAACAGCTTGACAAGCAGTTACAGCACATGCGATATACTTAGCTTCACACGTTGACAGAACCACGACAGGCTGTTTCTTGGAACTCCAAGAAATGGGACCTTCCAGAAATTTAAACAAGTATCCAGAAGTACTTCTCTTATCCACTCTGTCTCCACACCAGTCAGAATCAGAGTAACTTACTAATTCTAGTTGTCTTTCTTTCAGAAGGAAACAACACTTTGTATTTCAGAGTTCCTTTGATATATCTCAGAATTCTGACAGCAACTTGGAAATGAGACCACTTTGGATTACTCGTGAATCTGCTAACCAATCCAACTGCATAACAAATATCAGGTCTAGTATTGCATAAATACCTTAGAGAACTAACCAACTGTTTGAAGGTTGTGGTATCAACAGAATCACCAGAGTCAGAATCCAATTTTTGATTGGTTTCTGATGGTGTCACAACAACTTTACAATTCTACAACTTAAATCTCTTCAGAAGTTCAAGTTCGTACTTCGACTGGTGCAGAATGATACCCTTCTTTGAATACAGAATCTCCATCCCTAGGAAATATATCATATTTTCTAGATCTGTCATCTCGAACTCATTCATCATAACTTCTTTGAACTTCTTTATATCTTCTTGGCATCTCCCTGTTAGCAAAATGTCATTAACATAGAGACACACCAAAATCATATTGTTATCAGAGTGTTGCACATAAACACCATATTCCATCTCACATTTCTGAAACTTCTGCTTCTTGAAAAACAAATCAATTTTCAGATTCCAAGCTCTGGGCGCTTTCTTCAGTCCATACAGAGCTTTATTCAACTTGTATACCATCCCTTCCTGATTCTTTTTCAAAAATCCAGGAGGTTGTGACACGTAAACTTCTTCCTCTAATGGACCGCTCAGAAATGCAGACTTCACATCCAGATGCATCAAAGGCCATTTTCTATTTGCAGCTAAAGCAATCACCAGTCTGATTGTTTCATGCCTAGTTACAGGCGCAAACACCTCAAAGTAATCTAGCCCAGGTTTCTAAAGAAAACCTCTAGCTACTAGTCTAGCTTTGTGCTTGCCAATTAAACCATCTAGCTTAAGCTTCAACTTAAAAACCCATCTGACACTGATGGCTTTTTTCTTATCTGGAAGCTTAGTCAATTTCCATGTTTTGTTCCTTTCTATTGTCTCAAGTTCTTCTTTCATGGCATTTAGCCATTCTTTCTTCTCGAGAGCTTCTTCAATGCCCATTGGTTCAGAATCTACTAACATGGCAAATTGAACGACTTCTCCTTCAGAATCAACTTCATTATCCTGCAACATGTCAAAATCTGCAAACCTTCTTGTTTTTGTCTGATTCTTTATGGTCTTTGAGCTTGTTCTGAGACTGCACCAGAATTACTACCTTCAGAGTTACCACCTTCAGAGTTTTCCCTTCCAGAACTATGATCACCACCAGATTTTGGATTATCACCAGCATCTGGATCAGAATCAGATCCACTGTCAGAATCTCCTTCTGACTCATCTTCAGAATCTTCAGAATCAGATTCATCGTCTGATCCTAACTTATCTTCAGAACTTTCTGAAACATCTTCAGAAACTAACTCTGGTGTTGGCACTACACCAGAATCTGATTGAGACTTGTTCCAATCCCATGCTTCAGACTCTTTCACCACAACGTCTCTGTTGACTTCAACTTTATTAGTTTCTGGAAAATAAAGCTTATACACACCTGTACTGTGATACCCCACCAGCAACATTACTTTGCTTCTATCATCCAATTTTTGTCTTCTAGCTTCAGGAACATGTTTGTAACAGACAAAGCCAAACACCTTCATATGACTGACACTCTGCTTATCTCCAGTCCGTTTTTCTAAAGGAACAACTTCCTTCAGCTTCTTCGTTGTTCACCTGTTCAGAATATATGCTGATGTGGCAACAGCTTCTCCCCATAACACGTGAGGTAGCTTTTTTTCTTTCAGCATGCTTCTGGTCATATCAAGAAAAGTTCTATTTCTTCTTTCAGTAAGACCTTTGTGCTGAGGAGTATATGGAGCAGTAACCTCATGTTCTATTCCATTCTCCTCATAGAACTTCTGGAACTCTGTAGAGTTATACTCACTCCACCATCTGTTCTTAGAATCTTCAACTTCTGACCACTCTGCTTCTCAGCCTTCCCTTTTAACTTCTGGAACTCAGTAAACACTTCATGCTTGAACTTGATAAGTGTTACCCATTTCATTCTTGTGAACTCATCCACAAGAGACACAAAATATTTGTTTCCTCCAAGTGAAGGTACTGGAAATGGTCCATGTTGTACCCCAAAATTTGCCCTCTCATTTCTCAAAAGATCACCCCGGACCCTCAGGTTTGCTTCCATCCAATTTCAAGCCTGAATTTACAAAATTTTCCAAGAAAGTCATTCACGAGGGTAAAATGGTCATTTGCGAATTGAAAAGTCAAACTTTAACTTTTGATCAAAATCAAGTTTCAAGAGTCATATTTCATCAAGACATGTTTGAGATATGAAGTTTGTTTCATCTGGAAATTCAAAAATCAAAAGTTACTTTGGAAAAGTTAAATTTCTAAATATTTAGAATTTTTCTAAGTGTTTAAGAAATATGACAAGCTCAAAACTTCTGATCAGATTATCACCATGATGCAAGCTGATTCCGGAAGAACTTCTGACACAAAAGTTATAAATTTCAATAAGATCTAAAACATTTCAGAACAGAACTTCTCCTAGAAATGCTGGAATTTCAAGTTATAAATGTTCAAAGGCACGTCCTTGAAACTGAAACAACTCAGCAAATTCTGGACACTCTCAAGACAGAGTTTGGTCAGAACTTCTGGGCAAGTTTTCACAAAGGTCTGGTCAGAAGTTTGCAAGGGTAATTCAAAAAGGTTACAAGGCGTTCTGCAAGCTTCCTGGAAAGTCTGAGAGCTCCTTCAGAACATGCTAGAGCCAAAAGATAAAAGGATCAGAAGATTGGATGCTACGCTGAAGCCGAACTTCTGATCCAGAATTTAAGCAATGATGCAGAATCTCACATTGCAGGATTTCTGATTTGATAAATCTCATCATCATTTAATGCTTATTTAATGCCCACAACTACTTGTGAGTTTTTATCCAAAGTATTTCCCCACGTGTGGCATAGAAGTACCATTGTTGTCCTTGAAAAACAGATTTTATACAAAGTATATGCTGGGCCCATGCTTCGCTTTTGCTTCTGAGGGTACTTTTCCTTGATTCATGCTTACAAATCCAGCTTAGGCACGACTAAAAGCTGCTAACAAACTTACTTTGAGCCTTGAACCATACTTGTTTGAACTTGCTTCAAGAACAAGTCAGCGCCTAGTATATGATGGTTGTACCTTTGATTTCTCCAAGCTACTAAATCCTTGCCTATAAATTGAACTACATTTGCAACGGTGAAAGGGTCGAAAATTTGAGAAAGAAAATCCATGAACTCCTGCTAAAATTCCAAGAGTCCAAAACTGCAAACACCATACAAAACCTGTTAACTTTTGATTCCTTGCATTCAAACTCCATTTATTCTCAAG